CTTACGAAGATGGGAGGATGTTAGGATGGAAATAAAAATCCAAAAATGGTACGTCTGGACACACAAAAGTAGAATCATACTGAAAATATGAAATCTCTACAAAAGTAGAATCATACTGAAAATATGAAATCTCTCATACCAGATCTGTTTATTAATTGCCAGATCTGTTTACTAATTACGTGTTTTGGCTTTTGTTGAGGACGCGAATATCCGGGGATCGAACGCCATGGGAGGCGGTTCAAGCTGTGACGAAATATGCAACATGTATTACTAGGAGACTAAAGCCATCATATATATGATGTATATGAGGATGTTAAAAGGCAAGAATACAAAAGGCCAAAGGCCATTATCAATATAACTCTAACACCCTCTTCAAACTCATGGTGGATCAACAACACTGAGTTTAGAGAGGCGAAATCTATGTTGTGATCTAGTTTGTGTCTTTGTGAATAAGTCTGCTAGCTGTAATTCGGAAGGCATATACCAAAGAGCAATAATATGATCCTGCACAGCAGTGCCCACATAAGAAACATCAACACCGATATGCTTGGTAAGTTCATGCTTCACAAGGTCCCGCGCAATACTAATAGCACCTGTACTGTCGGACAAGAGGGTGGTAGGTGTAGTAACAGAAACACTAGAATCCTTCAGTAGCCATTGTAACCAAGTCATCTTTGTCGTCAGAAGAGCCATAGCTCTCAACTCGGCCTCTGCACTGGAACGAAAAATTGTAGTCTGTTTCTTCGTCTTCAAGGCAACGAGAGAACCACCAAGAAAGACACAGTAAGCAGAAAGAGAGTGGCGATCCGAAGGATCACTGGCTCACTTAGCATTCGAATAGGCGCTGAGTGGTAACGAGCTGGAACGGGGAAAAGGAGACGATGAGAGATCGTGCCGCGAAGATATCGTAGAACACGAAGAAGGTGACTATAGTGAAGTGAAGTGGGAGCAAAAACAAACTGACTCGGAAATGGGAGCTCGCCAAGATGACGCCCATCGCCAACATCATCAACCCGGTGTCATGGAGAATCGTGGTGTGGAGCTCGCAAGGAGCACGCCTGCCATCTACTTCATCATGCTGGAGCCAGAGGATGGAGATACAACGCTCATTGGGGATGTCGCCGATGTCTACTTCGTCAAGCTGGAGCCCGGAGGCGTGGAGCTGGTGGGGATGCCGTCATATGCCGCGAAGGATGGCGACACGGAGCTCTCTAGGATGACGCCTGTAGTCTTCATCAAGCCAGCGCCATGGAGGACGGAGGTGTGGAGCTCGCGAGGACACTGACGTGGCTTGAATCTGCATCGGTATTTCCCCAAAGAGGCAGGGATGATGCAACACAGCTGCGGTAAGTATTTCCCTCAGTTATGAAACCAAGGTTATCAATCCAGTAGGAGAACCAAGCAACATTATATAAACGGTACCTGCACACAAAGAACAAATACTTGCAACCGGACGCATAATGTCAATTCCTCTACGGTAAAAAGATAGATGAATTTGTATGAGATTGGATAAATAGATCAAGCAAAAAACACAAAATGAAATAAGTAAAGAAAAAGTACAGCAAGGTATGAAAGATCGTGGATGTCGCCTAGAGGGGGGGGGATGAATATGCGCTTTAAAATAATTATGGTTTAGGCTTGAACAAATGCGGAATAAACCTAGCGATTAGTTTGTCATGCACAAAAGCTAAAACAACCAGGCTCACGTATGTGCACCAACAACTTATGCTAAGCATGATAAACAACTATGTAATGTGATAGCAATATATATAACATGAAACACTATGGCTATCACAAAGTAAAGTGCATAAGTAAAGGGTTCGGGTAAGAGATAACCGAGGCACGCAGAGACGACAATGTATCTCAAAATTCACACCCTTGCGGATGCTAATCTCTGTTTGGAGCGATGTGGAGGCACAATGCTCCCCAAGAAGCCACTAGGGCCACCATAATCTCCTCACACCCTCACACAATGCAAGATGTCATGATTCCACTACGGGACCCTCGAGGGCGATCACCGAACCCGTACAAATGGCAATCCTTGGGGGCGGTCGCCGAACCCGTACACTTTGGCAACCCTTGGGGCGGTCACTGGTACCCGTCAAATTGCTCAGGGCGATCTCCACAACCTAATTGGAGACCCCGATGCTTGCCCGGAGTTTTACACAATAATGATTGAGCTCTAAAGCACCACCAACCATCTAGGGCGCCCAAGCACCCAAGAGGAACAAACTCTAGGATACCAATCACCCAAGAGTAATAAGCTTCTCAACTTCACCTCCACGTATCACCGTGGAGAACTCAAACCGATGCAACTAATGCAATGGCAAGGGCACACGGAGTGCTCAAGTGCCTCACTCCCAAATCCCACTAAAGCAATGAAAGCTATGGAGGAAGATGAGAGGAAGAACAAGAAGGAGAACACCAAGAACTCCAAGATCTAGATCCAAGGGGTTCCCCTCACATAGAGAAGAAAGTGATTGGTGGAAACGTAGATCTAGATCTCCTCTCTCTTTCCCCCCAAACACTAGCAAGAATCCATGGAGGGATTGAGAGATAGCAAGCTCTAAGAAGGTCAACAATGGGGGAAGAACACGAGCTCAAAGGATAGGGTCCAATGGGGAAGAAGACCCCCTTTTATAGGTCCCCACAAATCTGCCCGTTATGTGTAGAAAACTGTAGGGCCGATACAACCAATGTAAGTACTGGCACAACTAGTCAAAGCAGAGAAAAAACCAACCTGTAGGAAAAGCACTAAGCGGTACAACCGCCTGGGGCACCGGTAGTACCGGTTAAACATGAACTAATCGGTACAACCGGCTCAAGAACTGCTCCACAACAAAACCCAATCCGGTGGTAGAGCGGTATAGGGCCGGTACAACCATCAGACCAAGTTTGGAACGGCACAACAAGCCCAAACACCGGTAGTACCGGTCAACCGGTACAACTGATGTAAGAAGCGGTACAACTGGTCTATGTAAAACAGGTAAGATCAAAACAGCCATAACTTTCGCATACGAGCTCTGAATTGAGCAAACTCAAGTTTGTTAGATAGATGACGATGAGTACTTCCTCAAGTTGGACCACCTTTCTTGATTGTGTTGGGTTGATGAAGACTACTTGATTGCTCCCCCATACTCCACTATGGGTGAGTCACTCTTCGGCACTTCTTCATAGGTTCATTGCCACCACAATGGACGGCAAGCTTCAAGCATGATTATGGGTGAGCCACTCTTCGTGTTGCTCCACTTGAACTTGCACACCACAAACTTGATGACGATCACCACTTGATGTCATCCTCCATGGGGTGTATGAGATCTTCCTCTTGATGCAAGCCTATGGAAACATACCTAACCCCACGCAGAACTCTCACGTAGACCATGGTTTAGTACACAAAGTGTAATGGACAATGCTTACCATACCATGGGATCACTTGATCCCACTCGGTACATCTTCTACGCTTTGTGTGTTGATCAACTTGAATCACTCTCTGTACTAAGTCTTGATCAACCTTGAATCTTTCCAACTCTTTTCATTAGGATGATGTCTTGAAGGTAAACATGAATGTTGTCGGCGTTCTGGGAACCAGAGTACCCAGACTTGCCTGTCTGCGGCCCATGGGGTGGCTCCGTCGATGGCCTGGTACGGCCCATCTTCAGGACCTCCAAGACAAGACCCTCGCGATGGGCCAAGCCTTGCAAGGCGGGCGGTGTCAAGACCTTCGGAGGGAGCGACCTCCCAAGGCTGGCTCTTGAGGAGCGGAGACTTCTATGCAGGCGCCGACCACAGGAGGTTGAGGTGACGCCAACCATGATGACCAAGGCCAGGCGGGCTCCAGCGGGCGTAGAGGAGTAGGTTTCCTCTTTGGTGCTAAGGAGGCAAGCGCAGGCGTGGGGTCCCAAGAAATCAGCCAAAGGTTTCCATTCCCATGCAACAAGACCAAGACTGCGAAAGACGGCAGGAGGGATGTCACCGCCGAGCCCACCGCGACGTCGCGACAAGAAGCTTTGCAGGCGAAGACCATCTTTCGTCAGGATAGGATGTACCACTTGCCCCCCTTCAAAATTGGCCACTGTGGGATCCCTTCCCGCCTTCGTTTGGGGGGAAGAGGACCAAGGCCACTA